TGCCGCCTTCCCTTTCCCCTCCCCTGCCTCTGAAGGGCAGCAAACGCCTGGTTGGTAGGGACAACACCCAGGGCACGTGTGCGTGTCCCTGCGGTGCCCAAACCGCTTTGATTCACAGCTCTCCAAGCCAAAAATCGCTTGGCAAAAACGTATCAAAGAGCCCACGACGAAGCAGAGGTGGGGCGTTATTACCGCCAGGCCCACGAACGCCAGCAAAAGCCAGGCCCCAGCTGGGCACCGCGCAGCCCGTCTCCGCAGCGGTGCTGGAAACGGTCACGAGCAGGGGCAGGCGACGGTTCCCGAGATCTGGAGTACTGATCAGTGCAAACCAGCTCTCGACAGCCAAGCGATACCAGAAAGAACTGAATTTTACAGCCCCAGACCTGGGCCTTGCCCCTTTCCCCCCAGCAAGTCGCAGGAGTTTTGAACACCCGCTTAGAGCAGGTTTGGACCATGCTTCGGGACTTCAGGGCCTCCAAGATCTGCTCTTTAAAAGTGTGAGAAATAGCGTGGTTTCCTGCCCCGGCTCCCGGCCCTGCCAGAGTTTGGTGCGGGCACACAGTCTCCTGAATAAACCAGACAGCACTGTCTGAGTTCAAAAATTCAACTCGCATCACTCTACAGGGAAGGGATAAAGAGAGACACAGACTGGTGACAAAAGAGCCAGCAGATCATTGGAAAACAAAGAGCTTGTAATAATGAAAAAAGGACAGATTTAGTAACCAATCACTTTTTCCTTTTAAAAACACAATCACAGTAACTTTGCTTTATACGACCACCTAGAAACTATGAAACAGTATCACATTGTGCATTTTTTTTTTAAACCTACTTATCAAGAAGGGTATTCCACACTTCAAAAATTATATCCATTTGGGAAGGAAAGAGGAGACAGCTAATAGCGCAGTCACAGATACATCATGAGTCCAAGCAAGCGGCAATTCTTTGTCCTCACCTTTTCCACTTGGCCAAAAAAGAAGAGTGGAGAAGGGGATAGCAAAAGAGAAAAAAGGAGGAAAGAAAGCACCCACAGAGGACTAATCACATTCCATAATTACTTTTGACATCTACAGTTCAGGGCTTCATAGAATAAATCATTTAGACCAACACAGCGGGGAGAGGGGGAGAGGAAGATGGCAGTGGGACAAGGGGGAAATTTCAGAAGAGGTAAATGCATTCCCACCCCTCGGCCCCTTCCAAACACTGTTCATTTGATAGGAGGATCTACAGGATAGGAAGATAGTCACAAATGCAAACAGGCTACCGAATTTACTTTCTGGAGCAAAGAGTTCACAATTTGGTCTCAAGAGCTTGAGGGAATGTCACACCACAATGCGTCTGGTGGGTGCCTCTCGCCTCCACCTCACCAGGACCGCGCAGGGCGCACCCAGGCCAGCACAGCCTCCGATTCCCACAGCAATAGGGCTGGGCACCGCTATCCAAATTTCACCAGTATCCACGGCCCTTTCCTCTCCTCCCCCTCCCCAAAACCTGCATTTCTCTTGCAGCTCCAGTGATTTTCCCATGATGTTGCAGCCGACACTGAAGCCCCCAGGGTACGATGATACGCTAGTTTAAGCCCACAGCGGTGGCAGCTCATACCTTTGTCCCAAAGCGCAGCATTTGGGTCAGGTGGATGGCATCATGTAAGGGAGGCAAGGTTTCATTAAATAGCCACCGAGACCAACTAGGACTGGTGCAGAGTTACCATAATGACCTTCCCCTAGGAGCCCCAGCCCCCTTTCCAAGGGGATAAAACAATCCAATAGCCTTCCGGAATAACAGTTAAGATGTTTAAGGCAGAAGATTTTCTTCCCCCCGTGAGTGCAAATCAGAACCGCGGAAGAGAGAAGGGAGGACACAGGGCCAAGACGCAGCACTTTGAGCTCACCTTCTCAAGCAGATCTGGTTTTGTGCTTCCAGCACTCGAGCCAAGCCGCCCACCCAGCCGTCAGGGGGGTGCAGCAAGCCACCAAAGTCCCAGGGATGTTTCCAAACACGATGGCCTAACATCAGGGCCACAAACCACCTGCTCTGCAAAGGCCTGGAGCGCACACCAGTGCCAAAGCGAGGCGCGCCCAGCAGCATCCTTGCAGGATAAAGCCAAAGTTACTTCGGTGTTCAAAACCTGCACAAAGTTTGAACACTCTGCCATCTCCATTGCGTCTCAGAAGATTTGCAGCAAAATCCCAGGGACTTTCAGCTCCTGACCTGAACCAGGGCTGTGCTATCCCTCCCCGCCTCTTCCCGGTGCACACAAACACAGCCGTGACAGCTGAGTCCCGACGGTGAACGCTGCTGCCTGGCCATGCCACGAAGGCCAGCGTGTTGGTCCTCTCCCCTTCAGCAGGCAGGTCTGGCCGGAGGAGAGCTCCTCCGAGGAACTTGCAAGAGGAACTTTGAGCCTGGCAGGCAGCAGTGAAGGAAAGGGGAGAGTGATCCAGTTCTTTTTGGCCCCCCAGTAAGCAGCAGCAACAGTCGGAACAAGTAGCACACGAGAAAAGGACCAGGGAAGTAAGAGCAGCTTCCATTGCCTAGAGAAAGGGTCAAACTCGCTGCTCCACAAGAGATTTTTCTTCCCTACGATTCTCTGCCGAAAGCCACTGCCCACCTTCTCTGCACACCATGTGTCTCATTATCTTCAGAAAAACAGCAAGGGCAAAGAGGCTGACAAAATAAGAACGGCCGGGAGAAGGGCAGGGGGAGGTGTAAGACAGGCAACATTGGACTTTGGGAACACGCCTGGATTTGAGAGGTAGGAGCTTTTTTGATACCCACAGGCTACAGCCATGAATGCTTCAAATACATTTCTAAGACATGGTGGGAAAACAACAGTTCAGGCTGACAGAGCCCAACATAGGCTGACCCTTGCTTGCCAAATCTGGTTCTGTAAAGCCAAAACCTGCCCTATGACTAAGGTGTTATTCACCCCTCCAACCCTGACAGCTTCCTTGCTCCTTTCAGAAGGATGCATTCACAGACCAAGGCATTCCCTTCTACAAAGCAGGGGAAGGGCATGGCTTTGCTGGTGACTATTTGCCGGTGAGGCACACCCAAAGCCACGGAGAGCAGTGGGAGCTGGAGGCAACGCTGGGAACTCCAGCTAGCAGCTATAAACTCTGCATGCTGCAAATGATAGTCTGCAACCCAAAAATCCTAACCTCCCGCACCTTGCAAATGCTTGGAAGGGCAAGAAGGATGGAAAGCATCTGGGAATGAGCACGGAGAAATGAGTTCCTCTAAGGGTGCTGGCCGTCTTCAGCAGTCACCGGTCTTATTGGTGGCATCTCTTCCCTTTAGATGGGATCATTCATAAGGGCTTCAACCAGATAAGAGGGGCTTCCGCCCTCCCCAGAGCCGAGCGGAAACCACCACCTCTGACAAGCCCCAGTCCTACCGAGTTGCAGTGAAAGAGGGAGAACTCAATAGCTGAGAGGACATGCTGCTTTGTAGTGGCCAGATCACAGAATTGTCTCAGCTTCTACTTTCAGAAGTCAAGACCAGGTTTCTAGCAATGTCCCAACATTTAAAGCACTGGATGAAATAACGCAGCTCCTTTTTGTTCTGCTCCTCCCCCCACCCCCCTTCTCGATTGCCACCCTACTTCTCTCCCTCCAGCAGTGTTTTCTAATACCCATTTCCATTCCATCTGCAAAGCCTGCTCATGAAATTAAGCCATCCTAGGACTACCATCTTCTCTCACTCTTGTTTTGCAGATTGCTCACAAGGAGCGAAGGGCCAATTTTCTACCACCATCTGCTCTGCTTTATTATATCTCATTTGATTGGCCAGATGTTATTACATTCTCAGAGCCATCCTGCTCTTAGCGCTAACTCTTGGGAGGAGCCTGCACCCCTAATTTCTCCAAAGTCTCTGTTAGGTAGGGAATACACACATGCAGTGCCAGGGAAATGGGATTCTTTTAAAGCCATGCTTCCAGGATTTCAGACTACTTTCCTCAGAGAGAGCATCTTCACTGCCAAAAGGGACAACGTTTTATTTTAGGAGATAACATTTGCTAGCCGTAGCACATCTCCTCCCCTTTTTCTTATTTCTCCTGGCAGCAAAGACAGAAAGAGGAGGAAAAGGAAAGAGCAGAGCAGGGAAGAGGAAAGGTCGAAGCAGCAGATGGACAGAGGGAATTCTTGCTTTCCATAAGGATTTGACAATCTACAGAATAATTATTTGCAACTCAATCCTTCCTTTCAGGTTAGGGATCAAATCGTAAGATCCTGCACTACTGCTCACTAACGTGAGAAGCAGGCCACCTAAACATACCCAGCTCTCCCCAGCCGAGCTCAGGAAGGCAGAGAATTCCTAGTGGTTTTGTCTCACCATAACATTGCTCTCTGTACCAAGCTGCAAAGTACTTTTTTTCATTCCCTCCAAAAGGGAGAATTACCAGTAAGCTCTGTTTCTTCTTATAACGCACCACTTGCTTAAGCAACAACAGCTGTTTATTTTGGATTGTTCCCCTTGGTGTGGCTACTCTCCTCTTAAAATACCCACAGGTATGTACGGCTTCACTATTCTCCACCGTTCCTAGTTGCTGAAAATACCCTATTAGTTAGCTTCCGCGTGAGAGCGCGCCCCATTCTCTGCGCACCTATGAAAGATTTGAACACGGCAACAATTGCTGCAACGCCAATGAAAAAACAAGACATTATAAGGGGCTTTATATCCCAGACTCCACTTCCATATGAACAGGAACCTCTGTTTAGTATGAACAATAGACTGCAGGGAGTTAAACAAGGGAAGCCAGACTCCCGGGCACCGAAAGGACGAAGAGCAGAACTCCCCGCTAGTCCCCGTTGTTCAGACTCCCTCCTGTCGGAGCGGACTGAGGCTGAAACAGCAGCTAGCCGCACAGGAGGAGCGACACGACACGCACATCATCTACTCCACCATAAGGACACAATCACAGTCAGCAGATCAATGACAGAGCAGAGGCATTTCCTGGCAGGTCCATCAGAGTTTCTTGGTAAGTTTAGAGCATGTCACAGAAGTGTAGGTAGCTACAGATTTGCAATGTTGCCCTTGTTCTGTCAAGGGGCACCGGTTTACTACTACTTAAGTTATTTTTACCTATTTGAAATTAAACGAAGAGAACTAAGTTTCCTTCTTCAGTTCCTCTGGGCAAGAGGCACAGCAGGCAAACAGAAAACGCAATGCACCAGTCATGTGAGAAACCATGCTATTAGCTAATGAAAAAATAATATCAACTGAACAGCAGCTGAGCAGGGACTCCTACTATTCCATTGTCACAACTAGACGCGAGTCCGTGGACAGACATCAACACAACGATCCTACTTTAAGGGTTTCAACTCTCACTTGCAGTCCTAGCAGTAGCTACATGGCGACAGCTGCCAAAGAGCTGGGACGCAAGGAAAGGTGGTTAAGGAAGGAGAGCCGCAGTCCCGAGGACCATGCCCATACCAACACGACAAACTTCAGCAGTCCTGGCTGCGAAATTCAGCTCTGGGCTGGACAGGGGGTTCAAGGGAACTGAGGAGCTTCCCTCAGCCACTGACAGCGTTCTGGGCGAGAGCGGGGCAGGCACATCACACGATGCCAATGAGCACTGGGACCCTGCGTGCACAGCCTGCAGCTGGGCAGCACAGCTGCCCCAGGCATGTTTCTTCTTCTAAGGGACAGGAGACCAGTATCAAGTTATCATCATTGTTCCTATACAACTTAGCAATACAGATGCCCTTTACCTGAGTCTGCTCGGCAGGATCACGCTTCCTCAAGTGAGGTGATAAGACTGGGCAAAGGGCATAGACAGCAATCAAACCCTGGGAAAGCGTGCTGGGACAATGCCTGAGGGCCTTTTTCCAAAGTCGGGGAAAACAGCCATCGTGAGGGGGCCTTTTATTTCAACTTCCACTTCCCTATTAGGTGGGCACAATACAATCCTTTCCTTGCTCCATGGCAGCTCTTCGAAGCACAACCACCCCTGAACCAAAGCCTGCTAAATTCCCCACCCTGTCCACAGGAAAGATCTCGTCCTCACCTTGCCCCACTTTGCTTTTGCCGTACAGAGCTGCAGGAGAAGGCCAGGAAAGCTCCCTGCCTGGCATGCAATGGATCGTGCCCTCGCTTTATCCGGTGAAGATTAAGGCTATGAAAAACAACTGTTGATCTGGACAATGAAGTTCTCAACCCTTAGTTTGCCTAGCTGTTTGTGCTATTGGCAGGACCTAACTCTCCTTTAAAAAGGTTTTAGGATCATTTGCTCTACTTTCACACAGCTGCATGGAAAGTCGGGGATGAACTGGCACATGAGATATGCCCAGGCATCTGAAGCAGTAGCAGCAACTAAAAATTAGAAAGAGAAACTTTGGTTTAAAATAAAATTGAAAAGAAAGTAAGAGAAAAAAGGTAAACGGGTGCAAGTTGTCTCAGGAGAGGGGTATTTGCAAGGCATAACCCCATAACCCTAGAGATCTAGATCTACGTTCCCGGCTTTGTTTTACCATTACAACCTTCATTGCACAGGACTCAAAATCACTCTCATATGGTTGTTAAGTTTCATAAATAATGTGAAAACTATATGCAACAGATACATCATATTTCCAAAAAATTATAAGAAAAGTTACATCAAATTAAAAAGTAGCTTCATGAATGAAGATACTGCTCTAAGTGCACTTTCCCTGCAAGTGCAGCCAGTGCCTCAGCGCTGGATATGAAGGAAAAAAACAAAAACAAAAAATCAGATTTAAAAACCTAAGTCCGGTTTCAACCAGTCAAAACCGGGTCAAGCAGAAACCGAGCATGGTCTCGGCACTGTCCCATTAGGGAGTCCCTATGATGCTTCTTCATCCAGATAGGTTTGTATGTCCTTGTTGAGACTGTAAACAATCCTTCTTTCCTGAACTGTCCTCTTGATTGGCAAAATGAAGTAAAATATTTTATTTTTTAAAATAGAAAATCAAAATTAACCCAGAAGAAACGAAACAAAACACAGTGAGCTTGTTGGAGTCCATAGGATCCGGTCTGGAAGAGCTCGGAAAACATGTTCAGTGTTTTCTCCTGTTTTCAACTGGAACTGTACCAGAGATTGGGTTACTTGGGGAAGAGGGGAATAGAACGGAAAATAAGGGATGCGGAATAAGAGACTGCGGCAGTTTCATGTGTTCGCTTCGTCGTCTGTGTCCTCTATCAATACCTTAGTGTCACGAGCCTTGGACCTGCAAAAAACAAACAAACAAAAAGCACTCACTGGGAGAGCAAAACCCCATTACTACACGCAGAGAGTAAAACCACGCTGGACTTGCAAATTTTTCTTATGCAGATAGGGAATAAGCAGGCTACTGGAATTGTTTTGCACTCCCCCATTCTCAGTGGGAATAGATGAGCTGTACAGATACGCACCAGCTGTCCCCTAGCATCTTCCTCCCCTTCACCCTCCCAGCACCACCCAGGCCGCTTTCTGCGCACGCACAATGCCCTCTGCCGGGCTGTGCCGACAAGGGACAGGACACAAAACGTTCTGGCGCTGCTGGGTGCGTCCATCTGCTTGCCAGCACAGGAGTCCATAAAACCCTTGCAGCAGACACTGCAAATCAAAGTGAATGTCCCTGTTCAATCTGTCACTGAGCTACGCAAAGGTGCAGCAGCTTATTTAATAACATGCTCGACATGCCTCGGTTCATTGCATGTCTCAAGGATAAATGGAGCCTTCAATCTATTTATTTAAATCAACCTCCATGGCTGACCACTACTCAACTAGGGCTGACGGAGCAGAACAGTGTGGCATCAATGCCTTGGAAACCACACCACGTTCCTTATTCCAGGAGCAATGCGAGGACAGCACAGGTTTTGGCTTTTGTTTGGTGTGCATCCTGGCTAGGCAGACTGCGCCCTTTGGCGGAACTCAAGGTGTCTCACGCCTTTCTCCTCCCTCCTCTACCATCCCATCTTTGGGGCACGGAAAGAAACTGGACAGACAGGACATGAGGTGCCTTAGGGAATTCTACGTGGCCTTTGTCCACATTCTCTCTGCAGAAAGTTTTTAGTCTGAAACAGCCACACAAAGAGTTACACATTTACTCTAAGCCAACAGAGATGAGAAGCAGGGCCCAAGGCTGCGGCTCTGGCCAGAGTACATCCTTTGTGTGACAGCTACTGCCTCCTTTTCCTCCCATCTGCACCTCCCAGGCAGTGATGAAACAGGGAGATGTGCTGCAGTGATTGCACAATGCTTTTTATATGCTGAGCTTCTTTAACCCACAGTAGCCCGGGCTTGCCTCTTCACCAAGGGGCAGGGCTCAGGAGCAGCGCTGGGGGAGAAAAAGTGGTGCGTGGACACTGGAGCACCCTGTGGCACTTAGAGCAGTGAAAGTAAGCGAACAGGTTCGGGGGTGGGATGCAATATGGGGAAAGGTTTAGGGTGCAAGAATTCGGCAGGGAGGGGAGCAGAAAGAATATCTACATGGGTTTACACTTGAGAGAAGAAAGGGTCCGAGATCCCACTTATGAGATCTTAACCAAATGATATTTGAGATCTTGGGGCAGCCTAAGTCTGGGAACGGCTGGCTGAAGAGAACCTCTCTTCCAGGCGTAGATACATCACCTCTGGCAACTGCTAAAGGCTGTTTTTGCTGGAAGGGCCCTTCTCTGGGGAACTCCCTTTCTCAGGGCTTAGGGAGAACCCAAAGGTGATGTAAAAGATGGAGGAACCCTCCAGGAGAGGCATATTTACTTACTAATAGGACCTGCCCTTCCTTTGAAGGACTATTTCAGCTGAGGTCTTAGCATGACTATCCAGTACTTCAAAGCCTTAAACGACCACCTTGCATCAACAACAAGGAGCCCAATACATAATTTGGTTTGTTGCACTAGAGGAGAAGTTAAACATACTGCGAAGCAAGACGAGGTCTGCGCAAGGACACGCTCTGGCTGCGCTTCCACTGTTTGTTCTTCTGGCGGTTTCGGACACCATCTTCCTGGTCCATCATCTGCTCCAAGAGTGTCTGATCATCGGCGTTGAGCGGTGCCACGGAGATGTCCCGCACGGCACGGAACTCACCACAGTTATTCAGGTGCTCGTTCTCCAGCCGGAAGAAGTTCCACACAAACCGTCTAGATAGAAAAAAGTGAAATGCATCAGTTCACTTCCACTTTTACAGGCATTGTCCATGTTTGGCAGAGCACTGGTACAGTCACCAAGATACCACTGCCTTTCTCACTGACCACAAACTGCCTCTGGGGAACACGCTATAGAGAGAAACAGCAAGTGACCAACAGCAACAGCTGCTACAACATCTTCCCAGAGGTGGACCAAATTCTCTGGAGAATAGCATCTGGCAGGCTTATTCATTGTCCTAACAGGGACGATCACCCTTGTTTGGATAGCACAGAGGTAGCCAAGCATTACAAGTGAAAGGAAAAGCATATGGCAACCTCCACCACATAGATGAATGAGGTTCGGCTTTAAGTTGTTACTCATCTCAAGAAGCTGGAGGAGGCTCCAGCTAGAGTACAAATGCATAAAATACACTGAAACCTTACAGGACCAAAAGCAATGAAGCAGAATCCAAATTAGTATTTAGAAAAGCAGCAGAGAGCTGAGAATAACTGTAAACGCAGCATCAAGTGAAATTTCAACTGCTTCTGCCAATAAGGTAATTTTAAGGAGAAATTTAGTAATAACAAAACTCAAGGTTAGGTCTAGGTATACAGGGAACAAAAAGCACAGCACGAAGGACCCAGCCCCACGGTCCTGTGAAGCACTGTAGAGCTTTCATGAGTCAGCACACCGCTTGGAATAAATGTTCCTGTAAGACCTAATCTTCCGTTTCAAAGACCTGCAGCTTCTGTGTCCAAGCAGCGAAGCACTTCCCACTGTGCTGACGTTATACAAGTATTAAAAATGTAAAATAGAAATGAACTGCTCAGCCAAGCAGCCTTACCGGAAAACCTCAAGTGGGGCAAAGACAGTGGAAATTATGTCCCCAGCATATGGAAAGATCTGCATGGAAGTGAGGGAGACCTGGATGGTCCAGGCAAAACGCAGGATCACGTCCTCTACAATGGCACAATAGTAGTATGCCTAAAGAACAAGACAGACAAACAGCACAGGTTAACTTACATGTTCTACATAAAAGACAGACTGGCTCAGGCCTTCAAGAACAGGCAGGCCTGTACGCTTAAGCTTTTAAGTTAACTCCCTAGCTTTCCACTATACAGGAATTAAATCCTAGATTGGCTGCACAATCAGTGTCTTCAGGCTCTGTGCAAGGAAGATGCAATAACACTTCTTCCTTTCCCTATACTTCCCATTCCTGGAGAGTGGATTCTAATAAGCCCAAGGTTCACTGCAAACCCGCAGCATTTCCCACACATTCACATACCTGCATCAAACTTGGAAGAAATATCATAGAATAGTTTACCGCTTGGAACCAGTTTCATGGACCTTGGAAAGCACCACTGAACACCACAGGCAGCTCAGCAACAGAACCCGCCAGTGGTCTATGCAAAAGTTTTGTACAGATGTGGTAAGATCTGCTTTAAAATTGATTTATGCTTGTGTGGCTTCTCATTGTAGATACAGCTATCCTGCTACAGAAGCAGCAGAAATATACAGAATTTGCTTCTCAACCAACAGAAACGTGAACAGTATGAAATAATCTCTTCGGAGCAAATGACCCCTACCGCTGAGAAAATCCTAACGCATAGCGTTCAGGAAGCACTACTGAACAACTGCAACGTCTTCTCAACTTAACAAATGCTGTTAAAGTATTCAAAACTTTCTCTAAAATAAGAGCAGGCTGCGTACGCACTTTCTGTGGGTAGACGATCTCTTCTCGAAGAAAGGTATTTTCACCAGCATTTTTGTCAAAGAGACCCCAATCCATCTTCAGGTCCCAAATAAGGGTATAGCAGGAGCTGATGAAATAGAAGATAATCCACAGGTAGAAGAACACTTGGGTATCACTGTGGTTTTTAGCTGGAAAAGAGAAAAACACCATACTTCTGTTTAACTTAAAGCCGGTTGCTTCTTAAAGCACCTCTAAACTGGCTGACGTGATCGGCGGAAGTTACGCTCCTTTTATCCAAGTTCCTGGAAAATCAGGTCAACTGATCTGAAGCAAACCGAAAGCCTTATCAGGAATCATCTTTAGACCGGAATTTGAATTCCGCCTTTAAACTCTGCTCAATGTTCTGCACTCGGAATTGAAATTTGCTTTAAAATTTTTCTTATCTTGAAACTTGTGGTAGATCTGTTATTCTAACTCTCAACAGCAGGTGGAAGCTGAGGGCTGTATTTCACAAAGGACACAGGCTTGTACAAAGGAAAAAGCACTGAGGCAATGCTCAGTTAGTCGGGTTGCGTTAAAACATATCCGAGTTGGTATCCATATAAACAACGGCAAAATAATGCATTAAAGGCCTGAAAGAGGATGGAAAACACAGAAACTTCCACTAGCCATTTCAGGGGTGGTGGTGGTAAGGGAGAAAAAGTCAAGAAAAGGCAACATATTAATATCTATGTATAAATCCTGAAGAAGGCTCAGGAGGGAGTTTTAAACTCCTATTCAGAGCGCTTATTGTTTTTAAAAGGAGGTCTATAGGATCAAAGTCTGTCCATTAACAGATATGCTTTTGTAGCTCAGAGGAGGTTCTCAGTTCCACTTAAAAAGGCTACGCTGCTCCCCCGGTTCCTCTAAGTTCCCTTACATCAGTCACCTGGGCAAAAACAATCAGTTCTGTTAGTGTGGTTTTTTTTCCTTCCAATTAGTAACTAAATTTGGATCACACAGTTCATAAAAATAACACGTGCTATAATGCTTTGTAAGGCTGAGACATTTTGCATCTCGCTGCCATCAGGTATCTTTCCTTCTCTTTGTGAAGTGACTGAATTTGCTCATTCACCAACTCCTTGTAACAAAGCCAATAACAATGTTTCACGTACAAAACTGATGCCACACTAACATAAGTGACAGCAGTGCTTTCCATGTATGTGGCTTTAAAACAACAAAAGCCTTCAAGCTGATCACAGAGGGAGTAACAGCGCAATTTGCTCTTTCCTTCCCTTTCCGTTTTTAACAATTACGATATAAACGTAATGTGGCGAGCCGATAAAATTAATGGAGGTGAAAATGAGAGGCATAGTGTGCGAGTACATTCTTCCCATTATGCCCTCCAGGCTTCCTGGATATGATGTGCAGGATATAGGTCAAATACACACACTCATTCTCTTCGCAAAACACACCCCCTAGAGCAAACTATTAAAATCACTTGTGCAGCAAAGCCTATCTGCAGCGAAGCTTCAAAGTAACAGAGGACAAGGACGAGAGCTTTCCTGGAGCTTTCAGGTTTGGCTAGCTTTCCTGCTTTTTGTGCAAGGTTAGAAGTATCTGAGTAGTGCCCCTCATCCTCCTGCAGTTCAGCTTTAGCAAGGGGCAGGTCTAACCATCGAACCCCATCACTCAACATAGTCACTTCCGATAGCGCCACGACATCACCTGGAAGCACGCACAAAAGTCCTTCAGAACGCAGGCTCCGACGCCCAGGGACGTTAACGCTGCTGCTATAAATCACCTTTCCTACTCCTTTTTCAAAGTGCAATTGCCCACAAAACAGGGCACAGGTGAGGTTTTTGAAGCTCTAGCAACTAGGGCTCTACTATTAGATTTCATTTTGTCCCAGCCGTTTCTCCAAAGTCTCCCCTGCGTCATTTCACGAGGAAGGAAAGGCCGACGCTGATGCTCAGTGACTTACAGCCACTAAGCCATGCTTGCCAACATTATTTTTAGCTCATTAGACCTCCGTGTTTATCAACTACAGGATGCTAAAGGACAATTCAGAGATAATTAGGGAATTAATTGCTTTAAAAGCATCTAAATGCTCCAGACTACCCTCTGGGGCCACATTCTTTGTGTAGGGAGCTTAGGCTTGTCAGTTAGGCCATGCTGGATTTTCTCTTTTGCTAAGGACAGGACTCAAACAGACGGAGTCCTACTCCACATCTTCGGGAGCAGAAATGGGGATGGGAGCGCGGAGAGTATCATCCAGTCCCACACGTTTGGCCACATCCACAGCCACGTGCTTGGCCACATCCACAGCTTGAACCAGGCACTGCGGATGCAGCGGCTTGGCAGGGCACTTCCTTGGAGTCCTTCACTCGAGCAAGGGTGCAGTCTGGCCTCACAGGTTCATCCCTCAAGCTATGTAAGGGCGGCCAGTGAAACTGGAGCCAATAAAACTGCACCCTACACTGGCAATTACATAGCAAAGTGATTTTAAAAGTTAATGCTGCTTAAAGCCACATTACCTTAAAGGTTATTTTGTGCAGTTACTGAAAGGAGGAGTATGAGGAAGAGAGACTCGAGTATGGACTCTTGTTGCATTAGCAATCGCCTCCAAAGGATGTGCTTGCTCTCAGCCTGTTCTCATGGCTTCTGCTCCCTCTCCCTCCCCCTGTCTTCACAGCAGTCTCTTCGCTGGCACCTGGGGTCATGCTGCCTGCCCCTTGCTCCTGCTTCCTTTCTCACCCAAGAGTCGTATAACGCATTTGGGTCCTGAAGAACTCCATCACAAAACTAAATCACTCCCTAGTAAAATGCCCCAATTAGAACAAGACTACTGGACTCCTCAGCTTTGGCATTTGAGTCCCTTCCTTTAATCACTTGCCCTCTTTTTCTGCCTGCCTGCAATTCTGCTTGATACCTTCCTTCCTTCTGTCCTCATTGGTATTCAGCTGGTGTGCAGAAATATGTTACTGCTCTAGGCAAGCAATTATATCTCAGTCTCCACTGGCTGGTCCTAGTGGCCCTCTTCAGTGCTGCTCAGGAGGCTGGAAAATCAAGGCATTGATATTCCGCCCAGAGGTTCCATCTACTACTTGTCTGCCAGTTTTTCCAGGAACAATACACTGCTGTGTATGTTGATGATGATGTCAGGGCCTATTTAAATAGGAACTGTTTCACCTTATAGTCCTTCTTTGTTTAATGATGTGCTAAAAACCACTTAAAAACATGATCAAAGATGGATGGACACAGGAAGAGAGAAGCACATTGGACACCTGGTGGAACTTAATCTTCCAGAGAGGAAAAAGACACAGTCTTTAGCAGCCCGTGGACTCAAGTAATCCTCTTACAATGTAATTGCCAGTCCACCCAGTAAGAGGTGCATGAAGGACCTTTGGATTCAATGTTCGAGAGGGCACCACCATGCAACGACTTCCCAAGCTACACAGCTATTCAAAACAGCACGCACAAGAGCGAAAACACTGTCAGCACCAAATCTCTACATCTCAAGTTACGGCTGCACGTCCCCAACCAAGGGGGAGATTTAAATGCATGTTCACATTAGCACATCTGCAGCTTGAAGGTGTTCAGTCATGTCAGATGCTATTCAAGTTCTTAGTGCCCTGCTGCAGCGTCTGTGCTGTCTCTGCTTGCTGAAAAGGCTACGGACAGCAGCATATCACAGGGGCTATGCTTGCAACCTTCACCACGGAGTTTCCATTAGCATCCTCAGCTTTCCCAGTAGATGCTTTGCACAAATACACCTACAAGTTGCCCCAGAAGGTCAACTAGATAAATAATGGAAGGCTTCGACCTTTGAACTGAAGCTGTGAATGGCAGCAGACCAGAAAAAACAGCCAAAGGTACTTCTAACAGCTGAATTTACTGCCCGCAAAAACTGCTGATAGACAAATACCTTTGATTCCAAAAACAGCCACAGGGGACACAATAGCTCACTAGCATTTGGAGAGAATAATATCTTGCTGAAATTATAGCCCCTTCTAAAACACAGGCAAGAAAAAGGTCGCCTTCCATCAAAGAGAGACAGCAAATACTATACTGGATGCAGTTAATATTGACTTTACCTCCAAAGAATACTATCTGTTTACCCTGCTGAATTATTCTGGGGAATGTAAACACTATATAGTATTCAACACAGGAAAAAAAAAATCAATACCATGTATTATTGAAGATCTGGATAAGAGCACAATGGCCCTCGATAAGCACTAAGTGTGTCAGCCACTGCAGCTGGCTGTGGTTTTTGCTGATGGTGAGAGCTGTGATAAAAGCTGCAAGAAGTCCGAGGTTATCAGAAAACACAGCAAGGCAAGCCCTGCTACGGGACACAAGCCTCACTGAGCTGGAGCAGTTCTGCCTCCAGAGGTATTAAAACCCTCTTCATCAAGGACTACCAAATTCAGTCTCCTTTGATGACGAGCCTTTCAGTCACAGATTTAAGCAGAACCAAAACAAAAAGATAAGTACTTACTGTGGACTAGCCAAGAGATAGTGGAAAACTGAGCGTACACTTTCTGCTGCCCAGTTAGCTTGTAAATGATGTGTTCCCATTAACTCTATCCCATAATGCAACGGAAGGAGCATAACAGCCAAAAGTGACATATCTACACAAGAATGCCAATCAGAATGGCATTCCCAAAGCATTTTTGCCTAACGTTTTATGGCTTGACATGCAGTATTAAAGATCCCTCAGTAATCAGACACATTAATGAAGAGCAAGTAGTAGCGTTTCCTTTTCTGTCCAACTAGTAGGCATCTCCATTTTACACTGATCATTGGTAAAGACATGATGTGACCGTGGACTTAAGGCAGTTATAAAGCCAAGTAACCTAGAGAAGCACACGAAGGACTCACTGCTGCTCACTGACAGGCTTTGTCAAATACCAACCACTTCCATACGAACAACTTTCCTGTTGGATTCTGCACACCTCTACTATGGCCTCAAGGCACAATTTAAAGCAAAGTAGCAAGATACGGCAAATGAACTGTCAGGAGGCAACCTCTCATTTCCTCTCCTGTTTAGATTCTACACTCGTAAAACAGGCAGATCCTTAACTTCTGTTTTGACTGCAAAATACTGTGCAGGCTTGCATTGCATTTGTAGGACAGGACAACTACATTTAATTTCAAGATGTCACATCAATCTTGTAACTTATGTCTCACAATCAGGGGAAATGTA